TTTACGGTAGTAGTATAAAAAAATTATAAAGGTAAGTTCGTTTGATCAGTTGTAAGCTTAGTATGTCGTGCGGAGAAAATGTAACTAGATCCGAGACAGAAAAGTTAATTGACTCTTACGGCTTCAAGAGTTCTATGATAAATAGGGTGTAATTTGAGCGCTTTCCCCTTAAGGAAGCTGCCACAAAATTACTGTAGGGTTGGATACAACCGACATTTATTAAAGATACAAAGCTGTAACAAACGGTAAGCATAACATTTGAACCTATTTAAGTTTACAATCTTTTATAACCTTCGTATATTTGTTATTAAAAGGAGCTCTCGTCTATTTCACTACACTTACTAAACTTACTAATATAGGGATATTACCTAGACATGTTATTAATGTCCTTAGTAACTGCGGTAACTGCAGTAACTGCGGGAGGGCCAGGTAACAGTGTTCACTCTTGCACAAATGGGCAGGTCTGTCCGGGTAAGTACCACGACAACACAGAAGACCGGCGTAAAATAAAAGTGTTACACTTTTACGTTTAGTCTGGTGAGTGAGGTAGCCGGAGCCAACTTAATTTAAAGGTGGATCGCCAGCTCGTTTGCCACTTTTTCACATAATAAAATCCTATTAACAGATTCATTCGAAATATATTGGTGGATGAGTTAAGTAATAACATGTCATCTACCAGTGTACAATGATAGCTCACAGCAACACATATGCAGTGGAATATAATGGAATGTCAAACGCCTTATAAATTTTCTAATGGTAGCTTTGGCAGCAAACACTTGGAAAAATTGTGTTGAAATTCGAAATTACTCAAAAATGTTATTAGCTTTTGTTCCATTGAAATTTCGCTTTCATGTACTTCACCTATTACTTCGAATGATCCATCAATCAACTCAAATAAATACGATGTTTTTTTCTACCATACGGCAGGTAGACATAATTCTAACCAATATAAAATAAAGTATGAAAATGAATAATGATTTTTTTTTGTAATTTCATTATTTATATGAGATGTTTATTACATAAAAATTTATTCCAGTGCCATTTGGACATAATAAAATAATAAAAAGCTGTCACACTCGTATAAATATATGTCAGCAGTATCTTGGATTAAAACTAACTCGCAGCTCATAAACAGTACTAGACTTTATTTACGACGTGAGCACGGGATAAGGGGACGCGTGCTCTCAAATATCGTCAACACTTTTATTATCCGCGAATCGTGAGCGGGCTATATAATGGTAAGTATGTTTTCGTAGGGAAAGGAAAATGACATATTTTCAACCGAATTGAAAAATGAAAGAGCTTTTTCCATTATGTTATATTTTTTTTTATATTTGTCACCTCAGAATTCCGGTGTTTTTGAATATATTTAAAAAATCATTTTTGCAATGGATTCGGTTTACCTCCTACGTGATCCCACGTCAGTTTTGATGGTATTGAATCTTGGACTCCTGAGATACATCAGTTAAGCTGTGTGAAAGTGTGATATACTTGAAGCCGGTCTTATTTTTTGTTAGTATAAATGTCTTTGTTCTAAGAAATAACATATAATAGCCATAATAATAGCGCTTTTATGCTTTGTTACCCTTACATTACAGCTGTCGAGCTTACCACAACAACCCGAGCATAAATATATGGTTGCCCCTAGGTCATCACATCTACTAAAGCTCACTGGGCCGCAAAACATTGATGACTCCGTGGCACATTTGCCAAGGTATTGGCTTCAGCGTCGGGGGTCGTGGGTTCGATTCCCACAGATAGTTGTTTTGCATCTGGGTGTTTGTCCGCGTGAAATTTATGTTTGTAAAACGTCCTTACAACACAGGGTAACGTTATCCTAAAGTAAGGGCAATGTTTTAAAAAAAAAAACAGAGAATAAAGTACACCATCAAGTATTGCTTTTTTATGTGCGAAGAAGTCCACCTGCTGTTAAGCGACAACCGCCCCCAATAAACATTTGCAACACCCCTAGGGTTGCAGATGCGTTGCCACCTTTTAATAAAGTGGGCCCCGGCTACCTCACTCACCAGACGAAACGCAGAAGTATAACAAATAAAATAGTTTAACACTCATATTGACACATTAATTACTTTAGTACAAAATTGTTTAAAAAATGTTTTAGTAATAAGTATAACGTTCTGTTTGTTTTGGGTATACTGTCATTCATTTTTATTTTTGCACTTAATAACAGTAACCATACGACATTGACCTGTCAAACCACAACTTCTTTATGTTAATCACGTCTTACTTAAGTTGGACAATACGGAACGGTGATACTGCTCTGCCGCAACACAGTTCTTACTAGCGCGGAGGGTAGTTGTCATTTTTCTGCTGTTGCCACTTACTACTAATAATATCGAATGTAATCTTGTGTTTATTAGTGCAAATCTTTTCTTTACTAGATTAAACTAAGCTAAGTTATCCTAAATGTTATAAACATTATGAACATATGTCGCAGCAAACAATGTTTCTTTTCAAAATAAATTATTTATTATTATTATTATTATTATAACACTTCTACTTCACGCCGATCATCTGTGAGGTGGTGGTACTTCCGCGAACGGACCTGCCTATTCGTGCAACCTCCCCTCACACCACATAAACACTTTTATTTTCATTTACTTCAATCTGTACTCCATTCGTGTTCATTCAATTTATATTTATTCGCAGTCGTATCTGTATTCAATTGACAAAATACTGTTGAAAAGCTTCCAGAGAGATTTTCTGTTCACAAACACAAAAACTTTTCTCTCCGGTTTGGAAAAGTTTTAACAGTGTCTTTACAAAACATTTAATTAAATAACTGTAGGATGCCGAGATAATTTTGGGGTGGTAAAAGGTGATAGAGCTTACGGTATTTTCTTTGAAATTGCAGATTATAAATACTTTTGGAGGAAAACTTTAAGTTAAACTTGCGACCATAGTGATCTAAGTGCGCCTCATTTAATATTCAATTACTTAATCATTCTGGAATGCCACCACTTTGCAAATCGCCCCAATTGTATCGTTTAGATGTTCTTATCCCTCCAAGAAAAAAGTACTGGGCGTGCTGCGCACTATGATTAGTGTGGCATGAAATCATTTTGATTTCTCTATGGCATTGTTTAGCAAATCCATCATTGGTATAAATGTCACTTATGGTATAAGGTCAGAAGTCTCGGCTGTTGCACGGTAAGTATAGCACGACCTCACAGAAGACCGGCGTAAAGTGGAAGTATAATACTTTTGCGTTTCGTCTGGTGAGTGAGGTGGCTGAAGCCCAATTTTCTAAAGGCTGTCAACGCATCTGTAACCCTCGGGTGTGGCAGATGTCCATGGGCGGCGGTATTCACTTAACATCAGGTGAACCGTCTGCTCGCTTGGCAAATTTTCACATTAAAAAAAAAAACAATAATTACTATATAACTAACTAATAGGCACGAATTTTTACGAAAACATTTCCTTGCTCCGTTCCTCCAGCGAATGAAAATGAATATTGCTCGGTCGAATCAGCTACGTCTCTGCGTTTTATCGAATAGCAATAACGGATGATGTATGGGTTTTCTCGTGCATTGTCTCTTTTGGGAGGCGGGCGTTCATTACTCATCCGCCAAAGACCGCCTCGCCCCAGTGGGATGGTGGCAAATTGACGTTTTTAACGACTTTGCCATAAGGGGCCGAACTTAAGGGGCTCTTGAAACTTTCATATCTCAATGCTTCTGTTGATAAAGTGTTCAGGTTGCTAGAAAATACTAAATTAAAAGCGATCGCCCCGCTAATGAGCTATCACAACAAACATGTTTGTCGCTAAGCACAACGAAAATTCACAACTTACACTTAAATGTTACATTTTTATGGCGTTTCTCTGAACAAAATTACAGTACATTTACAAATTTATTATTGTTTCTTATTTTTCTATTTCATTAATGCTGGGCTATGAAACTTCAATTATACTTTTTGTTCGATAAGGGAACAAAATGTAAACACTATTTGGGTGTTTGTAAAATTTGTAATAAGATGAATATGATAATTCATAGATGAAAAGTTCGATTTATAAATTATAGCAAATCGGTTATAAAGAAAACGGCCCAAACACTACTCATGTAAATTCGTAATTTGAACAATTTCTCTGTCATTTAACGTATAATGCGTTGTTTAAAAAAAAAATATAATAGCACGGTTTATAAAGGATATGCATCAGTAAGAGTGCACTTTTTCATTTTAAAATAAAAACAAGTATTTTATGACAGAGTTGTGATATTTTTATTGTATTGTAAAGAAGACATGTTCCGATTAAGTATGGAATAAAACATCCGGCAAATGACCCCACGGCTCCGATGACGGGCCGTTACTCTTTTCATGAAATTTTCCATGAGTTTTGCACAGAGATGTGGCTGTATCTCACCGATGACCCGTTGGATTTCCGATTTGAGCTCAGGAATTGTTTCTGGTTTATTCGCATGGGGTTGTGAAACCCGAGATTTCACAACCCCAAAGAAAAAAATCGCACGGCGTTAAATCGCACGCCAGTTGACATCAGAATTTCGTGAGATAATGCGTTCTGGAAATCGTTGCTGCAATAAGTCGATTGTTTCATGCGCGGTGTGGCAGGTTGCGCCGTCCTGCTAAAACCACATTTTGTCCAGATTTATGCCGTCCAATTGAGGCCACAATAAGTCCGTTATCATATTCCTGTAACGAATGCCGTTCACAGTCCCTGCAATTTCGGCTTTATTTTCAAAATAGTAAGGTCCAATCACGCCGCCTGACCGAAGTCCGCACCAGACAGTTACTCACTGTGGGTACATAAAAGAAACAATCCTCATGGATTGCATGAGGATTTTCTGAGTCCTAAATTCGACAATTTTGTGTATTCACAAAGCCATTCATATGGAAATGCACTTTAGCGAATAGCGCGCTTCTGCATCTTGTATACCTGCTTGTTGCAAGACGCAATTCTTATTATCCATAATTGACCCAGTTTCTTCAAATTTTTTGACCACTGTTCGAACGGTTGCCACATGAGGTGCACTTTCTCGGCTGAAAATTTGGCGAAGTTTGCGAGCGGTTTCAGCGTAACTTTCCCCATTTTTTTAATGAGTCTTCACGATTATAACGCGTTGTTTTTTCGAAAAGCGCTCCATTTTCAATAATCGGAATAAACAAAGGTGACAGGTGTCTAATTACAGAGTTGCCAGTTGCATAAAAAAAAAATATTCCAATTTTAAAAAGTGCACTCTTACTGAGACACCCGCCATAAAGAATAGACTCCTATTATTCCTTCCCTTATTCCGTGTATATTACATGTCATGCATTACATCGTTGTCATGTTTTAGCACGCAAAACTAACGTTCTAGTGGGGCGGGTGATCTATCACTCAAATGTACGTGTGAGGTGTGACGTCGGAATGTTTGCGGTGCGCCGATATGTGGTCGGATTGACCCTGTCAGGAGGTCTACGTGTCGCCGGTGAGGGGCGCCACGCCGCCAGCCCAGGCGACGGGGGTCCCGCCGCCGCCATTTTTACGAGCTTGTTTACCTCGCACCGAGTGGGCCGCGGTGTGGTGCAAGTCAAAGAAGGTGCGAGATGCCTCTAGCGATTCAATTATATCGTAATTTAATTGAATCTCTAGAGGCATCTCGCATTTTGAAACGATACAATGGCACAAAGCCCACCAGCATACGTACTGGGGTGCTTTGTGATATTGTATCGTTTCAATAGTGCTGACTGTTAACGCTGTCAGAAATGTAGGTTTGCTTATGAGTATTTAGTTTCATTATTGTAAATTTTATTACCAAACTACAGCATTTATGTATCTATGTACGGAAGAATGTATGAATAAAGAAATAATTAAACTGTAGTAATTCTGGATCGTAGATTATTAGGACGTTTGATATTCTGTTTTTTAATTAACAAATAACCTACATAAAGAATTTTGTGACATTTTTTTTTAAAACATTGTCCTTACTTTAGGATAACATTATCTTGCGTTGTAATGACCTTTTACAAACATAAATTTCATGCGGACAAACATGCAGATGCGAAACAACTGTCTGTGGGTAACACAAATAGTTGTCTCGTGAGGGAATCGAACCCACGACCCCCGACGTCGAAGCCAATACGTTGACAACTGCGCCACGGAGTCATCAAATTACAACATATTGTAATACGCAACATAATATTGAATATTTAAAAGTTTTGCGTTATATTACTCACATATTCTTTTACAATTGTTCGACAATGGCTGACGTGTTATATGATAGAAATAACATTAAAGGCTAATAAGACAAAGTTTTTTTTTTTAAATATTATTCCTATTAGTATTATATTAAGCGAGTAGTAGTGCGTTTTATGTATAAATAATTTGAAACATCATTAATCGTAAATAAGAGTAACGCTAGATGTAAATTAATATTTAAAAATGGAACAAGAACATCTACTTTGCGCTCCTGCCTTGGACCACTTTCATCTTCCGAACTACTGAATGAACAGCAGACACACAAAGCTGCGATTTTCGGCATAAATAGTTCATGTCGGCGTTCAACTTTAGATAAAGAATCGAGTGTATTCAGAAGCCACGTTGCGTAACAGGTTTATTCACGGAATGTTCCTTTATTTCAGATGTTATTTATTATGGAATAAATTTTTGCTATTGTCGTAGGTTTATCGTGTATGGTGCGTCGATGCTTAGACATAAGTTTGGTAAAGTATGCATAATGGTAGTTGCCTCTGTCAACCAGATTTAAGACTTCGGGCTGCCTTTACTTTTGAGCTGTAGGTATTATAACATACATATATATATTTATATATATATATATATATATATATATATATATATATATATTTATATATATATATATATATATATATTCAACCTTGTTATCAAATACAGTACTTAAAAAGCTTAGTAAAACACCTGACAAATGAAGTCATCATGTTATTCACAAAGTCATCAAGTTAGTCATTTATTAAAAATAAAAAAAACTTTCAAAAGAAGTTTCGCGTCTGCAAATGTTATTGTTAAAATGTACAACAATCCTATTACTGGGTGTATAAATTGAAAAAATAAAAAAAAAAATAAAAATAGTTTGAAAGATCAACAAACGGTCCTAGTGCTCGATAAATCTTAAACTATTTATTTTTTCTATGTAGACGAAGCCAGACGAGCAAGTGGATTATTTGGTATACCCCCCTCGAAAAATTATGGAAGGGGCTGGCATGGCTCCTTCGATAAATTTTTCATAATAATTTGAAGTCGAGCAAACAGCGAAGACATCTTTTGCCTTTGTATGTATGGATTAACATTAGTCCTTGAAAGTATTTTTGTGGCGAAGCCTTAGGCTTAGGCGGGCTAACTCGATAAAATCTCGCGTGACACAATTCTAATCGTACACGTTCTCCCTTAAAGCAGTTTCGGTGTTTCATACGAAATGTCAAGTAAAGTAACCAATTTAAGGTATATTAATTTTATATACGAGTTTTAGGTAGCAAAAGACTTTTATAATTTGGTGTTGTGGTGGTGGATGTTAAGACTGGTAAAAACCTTGGTGTTCACTTCGACTCTACTTTCTCGCGGTCTCTCCAGTTAAAAGAAGTGTGCAGGAAGACATTTGCAGCCATGGGATCTCTGCGCCGCTTACGTTCTTTTGCTCCCCATTCCTACTATGATTATGTTAGCACAATCCTTACTTCTTTCCATTCTCGATTATGCGGACGCAAGCTATCTTGATTTAATCGAGGACCAACTTAACAAGCTTGAGCGAATTCAAAACATATCTATCAGATTTATTTTCGGTCTTCGCAAGTATGTCTCCGACCATGTCTCCGAATATCGTACAAAGCTCCAGTGGTTACCCATTCGCCTTAGCCGAAATCTGCATATTGTTTTTATTCTGTACTGTGTTTTGTAATCCTATGGCTCCGAGTTATTTGAAGGAACGGTTCAAATTTCTTGGTCATGACAGACCAGAAAGAGTTCTACGATCAGCCGGAGAACTTATTCTCACCCCGCATACTCTCCGGACCAACTTTTTCAAGAATTCGTTTACGGTCAAAGCCATTTGCCTATGGAGCGCCGCAAATCCGCAAATCCAGCGCTTAAAAACAATAAGAAAGTTCAAAACTTAAAAAACGTTAAAAATTACTATCTTTCACTGTGTCGACACTGCTAGCCACTGACGACATTTTTATGTTTATTTTTCTCCATCTTCTATATTATAAAGAGGAAAGATTTGATTGTTTGTATGTATTGAATAGGCTCCGAAACTACTGAACTGATTTGAAAATTCTATCATTGTTGGGAAGCTACATTATCCCCGCTTGATATAGGCTATATTACATTTTCAAAAAAAATAGGGATCCTTACTAAAACTTTAATAATGTAACCCAAAGTGTACAAAAATTACCTAAAATATTCTTTACATCGCGTGCGCTGCGAAAACTATTGATGATAGAATAAAATAATGTTCTACGACTTTGCAGAATACATCATTATTTACAAAAAGTGTCGCGACAGCATAATTACGTCTAACTATTATGGTTATGCCACAATAAGGTCCCGTTTTACCCTTTGGGTACGGAACCCTAATGTAGAAATATTTGGAATTATACAATTCGATTTTTTTACGAGATTTTACAATTTCAAACAATTTGTAAAAGCTACCTTAATGCGAAGGGCCTACTATAATGTCCAGGAATACATTGAGGACAAGGATGTGTGGAAATACTCTTGCTCTGCACTTGCAAGACCCCTGGCTGCTGTTGATTTTATACTTAAATAAGTTTGTATAATTGCATTAAAAAAATAACAAAAAGAACAAGACCGCAATGTTTCTTGCCGATTCTTCTCTGTGCATGTCTAGTTTAGTGAACCGGTGGTAGATTTTTGTTGACGTTCAATAAGAGCTTAAGTTAAGCCTATATATGAATTAAGATACTTCGACTTTGGCTTTGATTATGAGGGTAGGAACCAGTGCCACGTTCTTATAAATTTACAGGGAAACTGTAACTCTAATTTTGCTTTGTATCTCCCTCAAAACCTGTGCTAATGAGCAGGTTGCGATTACCACATCAGGCGCAAGAAACATCCTCTTCACCTCTGTCGTTTATAAGGTCTTGGTATTTACCTGAACGAGCCGGTCTATTCGTGCAACAATAGTGCAACTTATATTAAATTTAAACTTTAATATTATAATTTTGCCGACAACACCATTTACATTTTATACGTATAAATACTTATACATGTATAAGTATTTATGTCATAATATACCTATATATTTTGAGATAAAGCGATACAGATAGGTTTATTTCTTTTTTGATAAAAAATGGTATGTATTTATGGCTGTAACAGTAATTACATTTTTTATATTAATCCATGTGAATACTGTCAGGAATTACTATATAAATTGTTACATATTTTCAGAAAGTTACATATTTTTCTATCCATAAGGTATCCTCTAGCCAAAGTTTCTTGGAACTTGTTAGCTTCTACATCATAACATACTCGCTTCTCAGGAAGTCATTATTCGTTAGTTTCTCCTCGTAGACTCTGCTACGGAGCTACGCAAAGACATTATAAGAAAAGCTCTCGTCGAGTGTCTTTGGAGCTCGTATGTATAAGAATATTTTACAACTAATCCTAATTATGTAATCAGAATCAGACAACGTTTACCGTTTGTTAATGAGGCTCGTTCATTACACCGCTGTGTTGCGCGTATTTTTCGTTCCCACAGATCTAATTAACGAAGCCGCAAAACGCTACGCGATTCTTGACTTACGATCTCTTTCTGGGACAATTCAGGTTAAATACATTCATATATCACAAAAGAACATTAAATAGTTCACATAAAACGCGATAAACATATATAAGGTATGTCAGATATATGTATTTAAATTTGAAAACTGGAGTTTTTAAAAATTTTAATAGTTAGCAATTTGTTAACAATTGCACGCCGATTGTTTAATTCAATGGTTTTACATCCTTTAATTTCGATAAAAGATAAGAATTGATGATTATAAGCGGGAACATTTCACAAAGCGTGTCGTAAATTAACTCTTTTACTTTACTTCTTTAATTCTTAAATTCTACTATACAAGGATTTTTTGATGGTAATAATTGCAAATACACTTTATACTTAGTCGATGAATTATGAAGTTGATCTCAGAATTAGACTCTCACAGGCATTAAAATTTGTAGAAAAACTTTATGTTCGTCGTCTTAAGTGCAGAGATAAGCACTATAAAAATTTAAATTTCATATACCAATGGCTATATCTCTCGTTTCAAGTTATCTTTATAAAAAAATATTTAAAATTATTTATTTTCTGTGAATGAGATAGCAATAGATGTAGATAAAATAGATGTAAATAAAATTTCGTTGGCGTAGCAATCAGCCTTGTGGCTTAGTGGTTAAAGCCCCTGGAAATGAATCTGGAAGACGTGGGAATTCCCGCAGTGGCGAAAAACTTTTCGTTCATTTTTTCTACAAATAAAAAAAATGTCTACGTTTTACTTTATCAAAAATTAAAGTCTTGCGAACTCAACCCACTAATCTTGATGAAGGATCTCCGATGGATCCAAAACTAGTCTGTACATACATCGATTGTACGCCGTTTGGTTATTCCGTTGGTATAATATCTCACGAAACTTAATAATGTTATTAACGTTGTTTCCGTTACAAAAGTAGCATGTCACTGATCTGGAATAATGATGATATCATCGTGTTTAAAATTAAAGATAAGATCGTCGCGGAAAGTTTGTAAATATATGCTAGTACACCATTAATATATACTGGTTTTCCTACTTCATAGTTCGTCGTCAGAAGTTCATCGTTCGTGAAGCTTGATTAATACATGGTATAGATCTTAACTTAAATCTTCCTTTAGTGGAGAGAATTATAACAACACATCCAGTACAAGGAATTGAAGCTGAGCATCAAAATATTTATTTAAATTTAATCAATAAACATCGTTAAAATTCTTTGGTTTGAAATAAAAATTTTGAGCAATAGTCTCATTAGTGAGAGCATCATCTCCCCAAGCATGGACAATGCATTGGGAGCATGCAAACATCTTCCAGGTCTTAAAGAAGTACATATAAAGTGTTAAAGTACTAGAGACAAAAATAAAATGAGCTTGGACCGTCGGAATGTCATTTGCCAAAAACGACGTGACCGTAACTGTAATGTATCGAATGAAACACGGACTATCGCAAACTGATGTATTTTACCAAGACACAGATTATTGTGACAGTTTTTGCGGGTAGCATCGAATCAACTAATAAAAACATGACAGTAACAAAGAACATTAGATTGAGTTCGGTGGATTTCCCAGAGGTGAGCCAATTTGTGTAATAGTTCGCAATTAAGCTTCTCGGATCTCTAGCAATGTAACTCCACTTATGGCCACCACTTAGAAATAGCTTAATTTTTATAATTACATGTCTAAACGAGAAAATTCAGATTTTTTTTATGTGAAAGTTGCCAAGCGAGCAGACGGTCCATTTGATGTTAAGTGAATACCGCCGCCCATGGACGTCTGCCATACCCGAGGGTTCCAGATGCGTTGACAACCTTTTGAAAATTGGGCTCTGGCCACCTCACTCACCAGACGAAACGCGAAAGTGTCATACTTCCACTTTACGCCGGTCTTCTGTGAGGTCGCGGTACTTACCCGGACGAGCCTGCCCATTCGTGCAACAGCCGAGGCTACTGCGTGGCCCTACCACCGTTAATTAATGATTTGACGGAACAATTCGTCAGCGTCAGTTTTTCTATACGATTATAACGTGGCTGTCTTCACGACAAGGGTGAATAGGCTGGTACTGTGCTAATGCGTTTACCATTTAAAATCTAAAATCTTACTTACCATGAGGTTAGATCGCAATCAAGCCCTAGCCGGATTTTGGTTAAATGAGCCACCCGTGGAGACAAAATGTTCTCGAGTCGCAGCCTCGTATTGACTAAAATTGCTGCACGGAATAAAATTAATCATAAATTTAATATCTGTAGTAATCTGATGAAGAGACGAAGCTTGTTTCTTACTCTTGTAGGATAGGCAGTGCATTATGCACTTCGGATTAGAACTATAAAGCAATTCTTGCAAATCCGTCATTTAAGGCTAGAAACTTCAGGTCATCAGCAGTGTCAAGTTATTACATTCAAAGATGTCATTAAACTCGACACTCACTCGATCACCAAGACTTAGAACAATCTAATAAATGAAGGCTAAAAATATCTGTCAACATCTATTGAAGTATTGTCTCATTGTAAGAACAGAACTTGTATTTCTATTTCTTCCTACAATTTGGTCAATCATTTTATTTTCTTGCGTTAAAAAAAAATATGTTTATCAAACACTTGTTTGTTGATTATAATATAATATCTGTAATGATTTATTGTAACCTCAAATCAACATATACTTATTGAAGACTATATAGATATAGATATACCTTAATTATTACCTAATGAATAGTGACAGACATAAAATAAACACTAGAAATAAGGACAAACTTACTACACCATTGTTTCATCTGCAAAAAGTAAATAGGTCGTTCATGGGGCAAAGTGTGCGCATGTATAATAAAATCCCACAGTCGATATTAAGTCTGCCGCTTGACCAATTTAAATGTAAAATTAAAAATCAACTAATGATTAAATTATATTATACCATTTCGGAATATTTCGACGACGCCAATGTGTGGAGTTAATACTGTTGATACTCACGTAGGCTAGCATAAGACTATTATACCTGTATATTATATTGTACCCTGATATTTTTGAAAAAGAGCAACTGTTGAGTTTCTTGCCGGTCTCTTCTCATCAGAAACCGCTTTCCGAACCGGTGGTACCTTACGAACCTATACACATAATCTTTGATGTACAATTTGACGATTCATAAGAGCGCGCAAGCGTCTATTTGAATAAATATATTTTTGATTTTGATTTTGATATCTTCAATTTTCATATTTATCTAGATTAGTAAGGTCTAAGTTAATCTAAAAAGAAAGTTCAACATTTTAGCAACAACGAAAACATTCCGACACAGCTTTATATAAATGTACTAAATTTCCTTCTTCTCGTATTTCCAGTTCAAGAAGTAATACAATGTAAAAGTATTACAATGTTGAGTCAAAATCTCGTGATTTCTCTCTTTTGTATTCAGAGACGAACTGCAATTCTTGAATTATTTAAACCTGCCTTTAAGGATAAAACCGAAGCCAGTGCGGTTTTCATGTACCGCACTAAATTTTAAACAGTAAGTATAACAATTTAAAACTTTACATTTGAAAACTTATAGAAAAATTTACGTCAAGCTTTTCGCCGCATGCGAGGATTTGAACCTGCGTCCTCGGGGATATGTGCCCAACGCTCTAGACGTTGGGCTAACAGCCCTGTAGTCTCGGGCGTATAGAATAGGGCTAAGGTGTCCCCTGCCTGTCGTAAAAGGCGAATAAAAGGAAACATGGATTGGCAGCAGCACGAAGTGCCCTCGAGCTGCTACATGATGACTAAGGAATCGGGGAAGCTTTATCCTATATCCACGCGCAGTGCCAAGGGACACCGGTGCGTTCCGTAGGAGATCCCGGAGTCCCTACAAACGTACAGAAGGTGGCCACCGAAGACATTTTGGGGGCTAGGAACCCCCACATAACCGTGTCATGTAAGGTGACAGGGTGTATATTTCGAACATTCCCCCCGAAACCCAAAAAAATGGAATTTGGCTAAAAGGCTTACTTTCGTTACGTATTATAAATGTTAAATTTTTGGTACTTTAATCTATCGAAACATATGTTAGCTATACTTTGTTTTATCGAGCTAAGAAGGTAGAAATATAAATACTTTTACCAAATCACCGTAGTTTCACTTTGCACAACAATAACACTGGTATAATTACTTATTTTATCACTTTAATATCATTAATGAAACACCACTCTAACGATTTCATTTATGATACCGATTGGGCAGCACTATCGCGTATACTTCTAGTTGACAGCCAGAAGAGACGAAGACGACGAAGACCATGAAATGCTTCTTGCAGCTTCATTTATACCTCACTGAATGACACTTCTTTTAGTGTTGCCAACAACCTCAAGGAATGACTTCCTTTAGTGTTACCAACACATAGGTGAGAATTTTCAATTCCTTTTATAGCGAAACCACTTGACCAACATTTACTCAATAAAATAATTCAAACACGATAAAACTTGCAATAACTAAAAATAACATTCCTTTAGTAGACGATTTAATACATACCAGATAAATATTCCCAATAAGCCAGCTGCAACCACAAAGTTTATGATTGCTTAAAGACAAGGTTTTCATTTTTCAAGTTTGAATTTATGAATCCGTTTACTTTTCTTGTTGAAATATATAAAATAACATTTTTTACAATGTTTGTCTGTCTGTTTGTTCCCGCTAATTTATGAAACGGCTGGACCGATTTGAACGGGAATTTCACTGGCAGATAGCTGATGTAATAAGGAGTAACTTAGGCTACTTTTATTTTAGATTTTTTTTTAAATTCCACGCGGACGATGTCGCGGGCACTGCTAGTAGAAAATATTTTTCATAAAAAATGCAATAGATTCAAAAAGTTATCTTCTTATATAATGAACATACATACAATGAAAACAAATTTTTGCTGTCCGTGTATTTATCAAATTCAACATTCTCATTGTCACTTTTGCTTAGAACACCAATAGAGAAATAATTCAAAAGCAGTCATGAGAAATGTAGTGTATTGAAATATTGAAGGTAGAATAAATCAGTTAGCATCCGACCGCTGTGTTTAATTGACGTACACTTCATTGGCGACGAGGCGGGTTATTTTCAATCGTCTTCATTATTGTTACGTGTGGAAAGCAATAATAAGTACAAACATGCCTTTCGGTAAAATTGAACCTTTTGATTTGTTTTCGGGACAATGGACAATCTATGTGCGTCGAGTGGAACAATTTATTTTTTTAAACGAAATCAAGAACACGCATAAGGTCGCCACGTTGGTGACATTAGTTGGTGACCGCACTTATAATCTTATGTGTGATTTATGTGCACCGGACAGACCGGAAGATAAAACTTTCGAACACTTAGTGCAAACAGCGAAAAATCATCTGGAACCCCAACGTTCAATATATGCGGAACGAGAAATATTCCGGCAGCGAAAACAAAAAGCGGCAGAATCAATTGGCGATTTTTTACAACAACTAAAACATTTGGCTTCGTCATGACGTAATTTTGCCCAAAATTTAGAAGAAAACTTATGTGAACAATTCGTGACTGGGTTGCGAAGCACAGAGATAAAATCACGATTGCTATTTGATGCGAAATTAACATATAAAAGGGCGGTGGAGCTAGCTCTAAATTTGGAAGCCACTGAGAAACACGTGGAACGACAGAGCGGCCGCAGCAGTTTGAGCGGTGCATGTTCTGGGGACTTCGGCGACGGCACCCCTGCAACGGGGGCGAGTGGCGGCGGTGGCAGCGGCGGTGGCAGCGGCGGTAGCAGCGGCGGGCCGGCGGGCGGCGAGGCGTTGCACGCACTGCGCGGGGCGCCGGCCACGGCAGCGCGGCCGGGTGATGCGCCCTCGCAATGTTGGAGATGTAGCAAACCACATCGTGCGGATAAGTGTCGTTTTAAGCAATACACGTGTGACCGATGTAATATGAGAGGTCATTTAAAAGTAATGTGCAAGGCGTCCAATAGTAAAACGGCTGTAAGGCGGCATAATTTTGTTGAGGAAGACCCTGAGGGTGAAATGTACAATATTCGTGCGATTTCTAGCGGAGATAAACCTTATTTTCTTAACGTTAAAATAGGTGACGTAATGCTAAAATGTGAGTTAGACATGGGAAGTAAAATTTCGGCAATTAATGAAATTTGTTATAAAAATATGCTTACCAACTATAAACTTTATAAGGATTCTATAAAATTATGCTCGTATTCTGGCTCGCGTATTGAACCGGTTGGATTTATATTAGTAAACGCGTCGATAGATGATAATTTCCAAGAGAATTTACGGTTATATATAATTAAAAATGGCAGTCGTCCTTTGTTAGGCAGAAATTGGATTCAGAAGTTTAATATTAATGAGTTATGCGTTCACAGTATATCACTTGATGTTCAGGAGCAGCACAATCGGTTCATTGAGGAATTAAAACATAATTATCCTAATGTTTTCACGGATAAGTTAGGTGAATGTAAAAAACAGTTCCGTTTACAGCTGACCGATAACGAACCCGTGTTCTTACGCGCGAGGCCCGTACCGTTGGCTTTGCGGGCCGCGGTGGAGAGGGAAATCAACCGCCTAGAAAAAGAAGGTTCTATTTATCAAGTAGAGCATTCAGATTATGGTACACCGATTGTGCCTATTATTAAGTCATCCGGAGAAATTCGTATATGCGGCGACTACAAGTCGACCATAAATTCAAAATAAAAAATGGATCATTATCCACTTCCGCGAATCGAGGAATTATTTGCAGCTTTAAGCGGCGGCCAAGAGTTTTCAAAAATAGACCTCACGACCGCGTATATGCAAGTACCTCTCCACCCCGACTCGCAAGCGTGTACCGCGATCACTACACATGTGGGTACTTATGTATTTAGGCGCACTCCTTACGGGCTAAATTGCATTCCACAAAAGTTTCAAAAAATTATGGAGGAGACTCTTAGAGGATTACCTAATACAGTAGTTTTTTTAGATGATATTTGTGTCACAGGAAAAGATAGGGAAACGCATAAAAAAATTTGAAAGCTGTAATCGAAAGGTTGGCAGGTATGGGTCTAACTGTAAAGTTAGAAGCCATTGTAAAGGCTCCAATACCGATAAATGTGACTCAAGCTTTTTTAGGATTAGTAAATTATTATGGAAAATTTGTTCCCAATTTAAGTTAATTACTTCATCCATTATATACGCTTTTAAAGAAAGATCAGTCTTGGAATTGGAATGTGGATTGTGAACATGCATTCGCTAAAATAAAAAATATATTAGCCAGCGACAAAGTGTTATGTCACTACGAGGCGACGTTGCCGCTCGTACTGTCGGTGGACAGCAGCGCGTACGGCGTGGGCGCGGTGCTCGCGCACAGCTTCCCCAACGGCTCGGAGCGCCCTATCAGTTGCGCCTCCAGGACGCTCTCGGATGCCGAAAAAAATTACAGCCAGCTAGATAAAGAGGCACTGGCTATTATGTACGGGGTGCAAAAACACCACCAATATCTATACGGGAGGAAATTTACCTTGAAAACTGATCACAAGCCCTTGGTGTACATATTTGGACCTAAAGGTTGCATTCCGCAGACTGCGGCGAGTCGGCTACAACGGTGGGCCGCCAAATTAGCCGCTTACGATTTTAACATTGACTTTGTTAAATCGAAGTGTAATGGCAACGCCGACGCGTTGTCGCGTTTGCCGCTGGTGGGCAGCGACGACAGCGCGGCGACTGCAGCGGATAAACATTATTTACTGTATGTAGACGAAACATTACCCGTTAACTTTAAGGAGATAGCAGCAGAAACAAGAAAAGACATTGATCACGGCTGTATTTTATACAAATATCGTTTGGTGATACCATAAACTTTACAAAAAAAAGTCTTATTAGAAGTTCACGATGGTCATTTAGGTATCGTAAAAATGAAGTCCATTGCTAGGAATTACGTTTATTGGCCAGCTCTCGATAAAGACATTGAGTCGATTGGGAACAATTGTGTGGCGTGTTGCAACCTGCGAGACGCACCCCTGCGGTCTTCGTTACACCCCTGGGAGTTTCCTGCGGGACCCTGGAAACGGCTACATGCCGATTTCGCCCAACTCTTCGGAAAATACTACATAATAGTAGTGGATGCTCACAGTAAATGTCTGGAGGCGGAGGAGATACGTAGCACATCAGCGTGTCATACTATCAAGTTTTTTAGAAGTTTATGCGCTAAATTCGGCCTTCCTGAAAAGCTGGTTACAGATAATGGGCCGCCATTTCAAAGCGCTGATTTTAGGGATTTTTGTGATAAGAACATGATAAAGCACGTTACTTCCTTGCCGTATAGACCTCAAGGTAACGGAGCAGCTGAGAATTTAGTAAAAATTATTAAAAAAAACCATAAAAAAGGCTGTATTAGAAGGTAAGGACATACACGCCAGCTTATGCCGATTTCTTCTTCAATATAGAAACTCTAATAATCTTCAACGGGGGTAGCACCTTCGGTGGCTCTTTTGGGACATCGTTTAAGAAATAGGCTTGATGCGATGCGCCCGAATACTTCTAAAATAGTGGAAGAAGCCCAAGATAAACAAGTACAGAACTCCAGGGGCGTCGATAGAAATTTTAATGTAGGGGACAAAGTATTAACGCGAAATTATTCTACTAATAACCTTAAGTGGGTTGAGGGCAAAATTATAAAACAAACCGGCCCGCTTTCTTACAAAATTGTAGATAATTACGGGGCGGTGTATAGGCGACATACGGATCAAATATTACCACTCAGCAGTAATCGGTTCTCATGGGATATAAATGAAACTGACCAAAATGTGCATACGGATGAGTACGTCAACACAAGACCGCGAAAAATAAATAATGATCCTCAAGTTATCATTTCTGACACCGAAGATGAAGACTACACCACTAATCGGTCGGAGCCACTTGATAGTGACAACAGAACATCGTCTCCTACGGTCACCGAGGCTACGAAGGTACCGGAGATTTGTGAGAACTCACCAAGTCTACGAAGTTATACAACACGTATGCGTGAATCACCCGGAGAGTTGAATGAAAGAGCTCAGAGAGCACTCCGACGAGAATTGCGTAAAAAAGGGAATAAATAAAAGAGGTAGCATTTAAATACAACTTTAATTTAGTCACATTTAAAAAAATATATATATATTTAGATAAACGTAATATTTATTATTATAAAAAAAAATAGCACTACTCGTAATAAGTTAATTATTGTATAAGTTAATTATGTTATGATCAATTAAACTTACCTTGGTGAAGGGAAAAGTGATAGATTTAGGTTTAAATTTTGTTATTAGACATATATAAGATAATTGTTCGGGTTTTTAGTGAATAAGTTTTTTGGGTTTTTTTTTATTTTATGGGAAGGAGATGTGTAGTGTATTGAAATATTGAAGGTAGAATAAATCAGTTAGCATCCGACCGCTGTGTTTAATTGACGTACACTTCAAGAAAAATAAGAAAAAACTTAAAACTATAAACAAAAAGTTGTTATTTTTGGATATTCAAATTGTTTGTTTGATCTTAAATTAAAAATATCGGGTTTTGATATCTGTCGGCATTCTGAGTAATAATTATATTTATTTTCATATGATTTATTTATCATCAAGACACATGGGCTGCGCAAGCCCCGTATTGTATTAAAATTTAAATTAATTAAAATAATACATATATGTATATATATATATATATATATATATATATATATATATATATATATATATATATATATATATATATATATATAATACATACATACATTGTTGTTATGTATATGTCTAATAATATCTTAATTCAATACACTTAACGTAAGGGCAAGGTTTTTAATAAAGAAAAATTTTAGCTAGTAGAAGCTATTTTTACTGTCAGTCAATTATATTCTTTATACGAAACAATTAGGCTTATGGTAACTGAAACAATAAACAATTTTTTTATTGAAATTTATCTAATTGTCTAGTAGAAACCGCATCGATCGTCGTTTTATATTTTGTTGTACTATGATTTCGATCGTTGGAATAAACAAAAAATTTACTTATTTAACAATAAGTTGTACTAACAGGAACAGATATATTATCGTTAACCCGTCACGTGACCGTGTCGATGCCGACTTACATGTGTTTACTCCCCTATCCAAACCTTTCTATAGTAGTTTTCACTTCAAAAAAATATTCTTATCCTTAGTCTTTGGAAAGTTCTGTAACAATTACACAACAAAATGTGTGGAATTGGGATATAATTCAACAAGCGTCTCGAGTTAATCGCAGATTGCACCACGAAGATGCCAAATTAAGATTTTGTAGAAAGATTGAGCTCTGCTATTTTCTTCGAAGAAAATTAGACAATTAACTAATTCTGTTGTAGCGAAGTCAGTTAATTTCCTTCCCTCTGACTTTATCTAGCGTAACAAGATCTTTAAAAATTGAATTTCCTACTATTGCTATTTTATTGGAAAAAATAAAACAGTAGCACAAAATACTTTTAAACGAATTTTTAACCAATTATCTCATAAAATTATGCATTACCTGATATTGATAGGATAAGATAAGAACCTATTTCTTCCTCTTCCGTCAAATGAGTGTTTGAATAAAAATTTGATGAATGAATGGTCCACATTTAACAGGGACTTAAATTCTAGAATTTCCGCCAATATTTTTTTATATACGCATAAGTACAACCTAACCTTATGAATAATAACTTTTAGACCTTATTCTGGCTTCATCCCGCTCCCTGTCTAATAAATTGGAATAAAAATCCTTTCTCGGACTGGTTTCCTCTCCCCCGCTCTTTTAATTGATGCCTACCAACACATTCTGCTACTTTGATCAAACCCTCTAAAGAAATAAGGTACAACTAATCACCATAAGTTAAAGTGAGAAGCAATCAAACTGACA